CTTGTTCAGCAGGCTAACGCAGATATATATGCAAGCACCATAGGAAACATTAGTCCCCTGCTTTCTGCCGTAAACAAGCGATACGTCGAAGCTGTCCAGCTTCTTCTAGAAGCGGGTGCTTCGCCAAATCCGATCAACAGCGAGACAGGTCAGAAGAGGTTATTACTAGCAGATGCGCTCAAGCGGAACCAGAACCACGAAGTTGTCAAATTGTTACTGGAAGCTGGAGCTGAAGCTGATTTTGATACAATGCCAGAAGGTGACCTGTCGCAGTCGCAGGGCGAAGCGCTTCCCATCATGAACCTGATAACGTCACCGAGCAATCCATTATATGCACAGGCAGAGACAGACATGGCCAGACTTGTCTGTAAGAAGATAAGGCACTTTAATAAGGTCATTGATGGGCATACACCGTTGTGGTACTACGTTAGAAAGGGAAGAGGGGATATTGGCCAGGTTTTGATAGAGCATGGAGCATGTCCCAAGTTGGCAAATGTGGAAGTCCGTGAACATACCGTTCCGAGGCTAATCGCTCTCGAATAGCATAGAACATTAGTATAACCATCAAATATTCTGCCTCGGTTTCTTCTCTTTCTCCCCTTTCTCATCAATAACTTGAAGTTTGTGTTGCATCATCGCAATCATACTATAAGTGAGAGCCTTCTGGGTAGCCCATTACTGAACAGGTAGTTCTTGTGTGACCTTCATTCTCATTAAATCTATTTGAGTCACTAACTCATCATCGTGATATACCATAATGCAAGGGTATCTATTATTTACTCCAACCATTTCAACTGCTCAACGTCTTTCTCGTTTGCACGACTCAGGCATGAGGATCGGGCAGCCAGAACAACAACTCCTGGTCAGCCGTGGCGAAGAAGTTGTACCGAGGGTTGAAGGCTAGGACAGCTGCCTCTCTCTTATCAGGCAGAGTCCAGCTAGGTTCCAGAACTTTGTTATCGTTGGGAGCCGCCATAGTATCCCAGACCAGGACGTCCTTTTTCGAGCCACTCAGGACATAGCGCCCGTCGGGAGCGAAACAGCACTCGCCACTGCTCTCTGTGTTTGACAAATCTGACGATGCGCTACCACCCGATACGGTTTCTCCCACAGCCAATCGTCGGGTCCCGCCGTTTGGCTTGTGAAGATATGCTTTCAGGGTGCCCTCGAAAGCGTCCAGGAGGAAGTGTCCATTACCACGAGTTCCAACAAGTAACGACTTTCCATCATTTGAGAACTCGAGTTTTGTCCATCCCTTGTTGAGGCATTGTGAGTCTACCTTCCTGCACTGTTCGACAACATCGACCGTTGCAAAAGGAGCTTTGTCATAGTTTCGCGCATCGTAGAGGAGTACCGTGCCGCTACTCGTACAGGCAACGGCAAACACAGTTCCAGAGGGGTCGTATGCGGCGAGGTAGGGTGCTCGAAGAAATAGCTGACCTTGACAGTTCTTGGTTTGGGTGTCCCAGAGGCGCACAGTGTTGTCTTGTGAGCATGAGATGAAGTTGTCGCTGCCTGGGTGAACAGCCAGTGAAGTTACAGGTCCCTCGTGGCCTTCAAAGTATCTGATAAATGAATTGTCGTGTGTGGCAAGATAACGGATAGCGTCTGGAGGCAAAAAGCAAGTCAGTATTGGATTCATCTCACAGCATTCAGAATTTTTGAAGGAGTACGCTACCATTCTGTTTTGTGCTGGCATAGATTATGCTTGAAGCTGTGTGTGTGAATTTGGCTAGCTTCACTCCGTATTTTTTACTGACCAGGCTCTTGTCGTGCCTGCCTTCTTTGACGTGGTAGATCTGTATCGTCTCGTCGCTGGCCGAGGCCATGACGAGTTGGCCTTCGTCATCGTAGTCCAGGGACAGTACATGAGGCTGTGGACGACTGTCTTTGATATCATCACGTCGGAAGAGCTATATACAGCGTTAGACAGTCTAGCCAACCATTAAAGCATACGGTAGTTTATGTAGGTTTCATACCTTGGTAGGACGAAAGCTGCCTATGACATCGGACAGATTAGACACGGAGGCGGTGGTGCCAATGGTGCGGTGGATGTTGAGCGATGCGCCATTTGGTGTATTAGACCTATCTATGTCCATCGGCGTTGAGGACATTGTGGACAGAGAAGCGAGGCAATAGCTCGAGGAGCAATGGCGAAGTGAGTGATGACTGTGGTACGGCTGGAACAAAGCACACTCGCTTGTGTTGAAAGACTGTCGATCGTATGAGCCGCAACCGGTCGCAGGCACTCTAGAGCTGGGTCAATCCAGTCGCGACAATGGCAGGTTTGGATATTTGTTACAATAGCAAGATTCAGGTCGTCGTGGTGGATATTTTTGTCGATACTGATGTCTTGGTTACTCGATTTTTACCGTGTTTTGGTGATGGGAATGGCGGGAAGCTTTTGTCATGGAGCTCCCTGAGCTGGAGGGGTGTAATTTTGCGGGGTGCGTCATGAGCCTCGAGGTACGTACCCCGAAAACATGAAGTCGGTATTGAGGTATCATCCTCTTCTATTCAGTGAGACAGGCTCTGTATCTTGGACTAATTATTGCTACCTTTGACATTCGTCATGGCTTCTTGTGGTGGATTTTGAGACTCGGTATTCAATTCCTATTATATGTTCGCGTATATGAATCCAATAGTCAACGATACCTGACGCTCGGTATAATCGAAGTCGGAGACGGCATACAAACGCTCGAGCCGTAACAAGCCGCTCAAGGGAATCGCCGGCCCCAGCAGCTAGCTGCCCTGTCTTTTCCCTTTGACCCTAGCGCCGTAGCAGTAAATCACCACATCGGCGAATCAGATCCCATCATCGTCCTCCATTTCCAGGGGATGTACAGCGGTCCAGCGGCCCTGACGCAAGGACCCGCAGCCATCCCCGCGAAAAAGGACCGCCGACGTCGGCATATGAAATGCATCCAGCGCAAAAAAAAGATGAAAAAGTATTGAACGGCGAAGAGACGGGAGACATGGATGTGATCGTGTGAGGTGCTACCCAGGTAGACTATGCGGATAGTACAGGCCCGGAAATACCCTCAGGAACAGTCGATGACAGGCGGCTTATCAACTTTGTCAGCCGCTGACAGAAGAAGATGCAATTTACCGTACTGTACCTACACCTGTAGTGTCCAATAATGTATATATCTTGAGCCCCATCCTAGGTTCCATGTTCTCCCAGTTCATTAGGTAGTTATGTGGAAAGCTTGTACCTTTTTGGTGTAATTGCGCTGATAGTGGTACCTCAGCGCTGACAATTTCTCGTGCTGCCATAGGGTCCGAAGCCGCTGGTGACGGCAACGGGTGTGAAACCCTTCTTTTCCACGTTCCCAAATCTTCTTCTTAAACCTTACTCAAGTGACTAACTTTGTTTCTCCTGCATCACTTCGGTTTCTTCGGGTCGCCGATTGAAAGAGGATAGCTCTCGCGCTCGCGCTCACCCCTATAGGGATCTGGTTCCCTCTCGTCGCCCAATCTCTCCTTACATTGGATCCAATCTTGCTCTAACTTAGCAACTGTCGGCCGCTTCCTTGCGTTTGGAGAGATCGGGTCATGTCGACCACTGTTGGGTAAGCCTCCTGGCCATTAGTGCTTCATGAAACGACCCTCCGAATTAGTCCATGGTGTTTCGTTCGCTCCCAAGTTCTTGTACTGACTTTGTGAATAGCGCCTTCATTGCTGGCGGCATTGCCGCCTGCGGTGCAGTCACTGCAACACATCCTTTTGAGACGGTCAAAATTCGGTATGCTCTGGGGTTTTTGGCACGCGATATTGTCCCGGTAGATGCTGACAATATCCCTGTACAGTATGCAGTTGCAAGGCGAGCTTCAGAACAAGGGCCATCAACCTCACCATTACAGAGGACCGATCCATGGTGTGAGCGTCATTGTGCGCAACGAAGGTGTCCGTAATATCTACCGCGGAATTGGCGCGGCCTATATCTACCAAGTCCTTCTCAATGGCTGTCGTCTCGGTTTCTACGACCCTATGCGCAATGCGCTCGCTAGCTTCTTCCTCAAGGACGGAAAGGCTCAAAATCTGGGCATCAATATGTTCTGCGGTGCGGCCTCGGGCGTCATCGGCGCCGCCGCCGGAAGCCCCTTCTTCCTCGTCAAGACCCGATTACAGAGTTTCTCGGCGTTCCGACCCGTTGGCACACAGCACCACTACCGGGGCGCATGGCATGGCTTCAAGTCTATCTATGGAACTGAGGGTATCAGTGGTCTCTACCGTGGTGTGCAGGCTGCCATGATCAGGACTGCTTTTGGCTCCTCTGTTCAGCTACCCACATATTTCTTCGCGAAGCGTCGCCTGGTTCGTCATTTTGATATGGAAGAGGGTCCCGGTCTGCACTTGGCCTCCAGTGCTATCAGTGGATTCGTTGTCTGCTGCGTGATGCATCCTCCTGGTAAGTCCTACACCTGAGCCAAAGCCAAGTTCAGTGGCTGACATTCACGTCCCAGACACCATCATGTCCCGCATGTACAACCAGAACGGCAATCTTTACAGCAGCGTTGCCGACTGTCTCTCCAAAACCACTCGCTCTGAGGGTCTCTTTGCTCTTTACAAGGGATTCTTCCCTCATCTTGCCCGAATTCTACCCCACACCATCCTCACTCTGAGCTTAGCTGAGCAGACCAATAAGCTGGTCCGCAAGATTGAGGATCGCATTCTCCCCGGAAGATTGGAGATGGCGACTTGAAGGTGATGAGATTGTTAGACGAGGTCAATAATGAAAGGGCGGCATAGTGATTAGCGAACATCGATCTATGAGCAAAATTGCTCTTGTATATGACGAAAAAGAAAGAAATATTCGAGTCCTCATTTATATGATTATCTAGCAGGACAATAGGAGCATTCGGCACCGCTTGGGTCATGCATGGGTTTGGCAATCAAAAGGCGACGTGGCGTATTTGAGGAGTTTTTAGTCACGGTAGATACTATGTTATACCAGAATATATCAATGTGAATATTCAGATTCTTGTACGAATGATGCTCTACCCGTGGATTGACCGCTTGCAGCCATAGCATAGCCGGCCTGCACCGGCTGCCCCCGGCCCGTCCCCGGCATCATCGCCTATCTCTCCGGCCCATCGCGAATCTCCCTCGGCATCAAGTGACATACCGCAGCTTCCGCAGAAGCTCTTCCCAGGAACTCGGTCCAGCTTTGTAGTTGTGCGCACCACGTTGGCAACGATTCCAGCATATCCCTCCTCTACACTATCAAAGTATCGTGTCATGACCTCCTCGATGCTCAAGTCCTTGTGTGAAACAACACTGTTTCCGGCCTTGGCACCTCCTTGTTTGACGGGAACAACCTCCTTTAATGAGGGAACAAGGTCGATGTACTGGACCAGCTCGTTGCGAAAGATCTCGCGCAGGGGGTAGTAGACCGGGAATTCTAGTCGACCGGTCTCCTGGGCGGCGGCGCCCTCAGCTGCCTCGTACGTGCATACAGTTGTCATGCCGTCAGCAACCTGTAATGGAACTGCAAATCCTCTGCCGTTGGCGACCTCTGATAGTGTCAAGGCTGCGAGTGCTGTTGTGCTGTGACCGAGGAGAAGCGCTGAGCATGAGTGCTCCCGGGCTTTCTGGAGAAGAAGGTGACGAATAAGCTGACGGAGAAGATCTGTTCGCGAGGTCAATGTGGGTAAACCATTGAAAAGTCGTTGAAGGCGAGCGTTTGGATCATCATCTGGTGTGACACCGTCGAGGGGTAGACTTGACCAGTCGATGCTCTTCACAGAGAGAACGTCCTTTAGAGGAACACACTCGAACGCAGCATTTGGCAATACACGACGGTACTCTTCCAGGAGCTTCTTAGCAGGAGATTCTCCCTCAATATGTGATAACTCAGTATCGATATGAATAATCACGGGCTCAAATGGTGAAGATGCCTTGTTCTCTGAGTGATGGCGAGCCTGCTCGCTGAGCAACTGGGCCAGGACGCTAGATGAAGGCCCAAAGGATAAGCCGGCCAGGTATCTTCGAGTAGTGAGCTTCTTTGAAGAGCGAATGTCTTTATGAAGTGCACCAAGACGCTTGTTCAGTTTATAAGCGACATATTGGATGTAGCAATCACTGAGTCACATTAGCATGAGGGGCAAAACGATCAAGTCTCATGAGGGAATGATGAGAACTTACCGGCATGTTGGGTCTGTCCGCAGGAGTAAAGCGGCGTCTTCGGCCTTGCACCGCTTACAAGGCCGACTGGTGTCTGGAGAAGGCATCTGAGTTGGGCGTGGGCGTGGAGATGTGTATAAACCGAGTGAGTTGGAGTTGAGTTTTCGGGTGACCTATATAGGGTAACCGCTGTTAAGAGGCGGGTAAGGAAAACTGGGTGCAGTTTTGTTTGTTTGGAGTGCCAGAGTGCCAGTGTTTTAAGATCTGAAGCAAGACTCTTTCAGCTGCTGAGAGATAGGTTCATAGGAGTTGATAAGTGAGTTGGGTATCGACTGTGTGGTGAGGTATGTAGAGTTGAGTAACGTGAAAAGTTGAAATTTTCGCCGCCTCAGACCGATCAGTCATAAAGCAATCACGAAAGCCAACTTGACCACAAACTCAGAAGAACGTTATGGTGGGCATTCAAACCAACCAAAATTTAGAGATAATCATGGCGATGTCTTGATTTTTTATATATACCTTATAAATTTACTTACTTACTATTGAACTCCCGTTGCAATGCGAAACCCAGGCAGCACATTTCACTTACACGACTCAGAGCATCGCTTATACTGATGATGTTATGGTTCCTTGCACGTATTCGTAAAAAAGACCTCTAGTTTCTGAACAAACTACCGAGAACATGCCCGACAAAGTAGCCACGATCTCTACCCCAGGCTCTGACTATAATCTCCTTTCCTGTTCTGACCACGTCCTTCTGTTGCTCAGCATCGCCCCATCCTGGCGTCTGAGATCCAAGACAGATCAAGTGAACACCAACATGGATAACTGTGCGATAAGCAAAGTCATCACTGACGGCGCCGTAGCCATCAGCAAATGCCTGAATGAGCCACTCCCCTGCGGCAATGTCCTTGTATAGCCTGAGTTGCCAAAGCTCAGCAATGGCCTGGCCGAGATCCAGAGGCCGAACACCAATCTGAACCATCTCCCAGTCAACAATACGAATGGGAGTGTGAGTGCCTTTTGCCAGAGGAGTGTCAGGGAGTAAGATACTGTTTATGTGGTAGTCAGCTGACTGCGGACTCACGATAAGCAACACTAATACGAGGACTCACTTTCCAGTCCAGAAGTCACCATGAATGGGATACAATGCTGATTCATCTGCAAGTTCCCCGGCAGCCAGATCACTGACACCCTGAAAAACGTCCCTTGCATCGCCAAGAATCTCGGGGTATCGATCCACCACCTGCAGCAGCTGTTGGTAATTGATCATGTTCTTGAGACCCTGCATCTCCTTGTTCCCCGCAAACGTCTCTCGTAGGGCTGCTTGCTTAGGTTCTTGGCTCCAGCCGTGGAACGCGCGAAGCCAAGATCCAAGACCATGGCCGAGCTGCTCGCATTGTTCTTTGAGACCTGAGGGTGTGGGGGCAACGTAGTATTTGAGGGCATAGTCTTTCAGACTGAGAGCTTCTGGGAGATATTCTTGGACTTGAGTATTGCTATCTTGGTTGAAGTAATATGTCTCTGGAGTTGATATTCTGAACGATGGCGTTTCTGTCGGGGGGAGTCCAGCAAGATGAACGAGAGACTCATACTCGATAGCCTACAACCATGGACGTCAGTCAGTCAGTCAGCGAAGCTTGCTGGTTAGTACTCTTAGTGTCGCACTCACACATCGAGAAGTTGCAATCTTGAACGCAGGGTGAAGTGCAACGTAGCCCTCGCCCTGCTTGATCACGACGCCATTTTGATATTTGTCTTCATCTGATGGCTTCTCGAGAGTTGCATGGTACATGAAGTTGGCAGTGCCACCACTGAGCTTTCGCAGGCTTGAGGGAGCAAAGGGGGTTCCTTTGAGGACTTGCTCTACTTTGGAGCGAATTTCTTGTTCGGTATCATTGGGGATGCTGTGTTGTTGGTGTAAAGACATGGTAATTTGAAGAGGGTGAATGGATGTGGAGTGAAGCAAAACAGCCACAGGTGATGAGGTATGGGTAATTGTTGGGTGTGTTAGTGATGCTCCTGATATCGCAGTGGTTGGAAAAATGAATATTAATTGGCTTCATATTGACTACTTATAACTAGGGTCAACTAGAGCGTTTGTTTGCTTGAGAAGAGATGAAATCTTTCATTCCATAGACTGACTAAACAGATTCGGCAAGCATTGAGCGTGTTTAGTCGATGGCTGCATTCGCCGGTGACTCAATCAGTAGAAAAGAGTCATCGTCTACGGAGCTGCTTGAGAAGAGATGAAATCTTTCATTCCATAGACTGACTAAACAGATTCGGCAAGCATTGAGCGTGTTTAGTCGATGGCTGCATTCGCCGGTGACTCAATCAGTAGAAAAGAGTCATCGTCTACGGAGCGCAATAGTTGTTCAAGGGAACATACGCATACTGCCGTTGCCAATACCTGAAGTTGATGGATTATCAATCCACTCGTTTACTTTCACCTGTTAAACTTGGAAGCCTTGAATTAATTAACAGCTCGTTCAATGGGCGTTTCGTCGTCATGAAACCTTCCTCCCCCATTGTATTTCTCCACCAGCAAGCGTCTGTCTATTCGGCTCGGAGCGAGACAAGGAGGGAGGCTAGGAGGGAGCCCTGTCGTACATAAATAGATAGCATGAAACCCTCTAAATCTCAATATCTTAGCCGCTGGGCATTATGATATAGCATAGCATGGCATGGCATCGTCTCATATGGTGGACTCTTGTCGAAGCGCCCTGTATCAGATTAAGCGATCGACCAGGTGGTCTTGGCCTGACCGGGCCGGGCCTCTACTATTATTTATTTATTTACGGATATATCAAGTCAGTTTAGAGCAGTTTGTCACCAATCGAGATGACAGTTCTTGGCCTAAACGCTGTATATGCGGGCTGATGATGATGATGGACGCATGACACGAAAAAAGAAAAGGACTAGAAACCCACCTCCCAACAAAAAGAGCTGCAAGAGCTGAAATCGTCAGATTCACTGCCAGTCACAGAATAGGAATAAGCCACTTTCGTGATCGTTTTCGGCTGCGGGATGTGCGGACGGTTCCAACTCAGCTGCCTTGTTTGCACAGCCAGTAATTATCGATTTGATCATTCACTCAAGATGACCAAAGAGACACTGCCCACTGTCATCTTTCACAAATAGTCAATCTCTCTGCCTGGTGATAGTGATGGAGGGTGGTAACGTCAGGCGATACGTAAGACTGATAGGTTAGTAGGTGGCTTAAAACTCTCTACGAGGCGTGCATACCTACATACATACATACGTATTTGTTCAAGGGTCTCGAACCCTCCCATGATGCTTCCGCCACCTGATGTAATCCCGTTCTGGAGGAAGAGGGATCAACAGGTAAAAGAACCTTAATCAGAGTGAACCCCTCATTCATTCCTTGGTTCATCAAGTCCAATTCCGAATGCGAAAAGGTCTTGATTGACTGTTGATGGTGTCCGTTTTCAAGTCATCTAGTAGTATACGTAAGTATACCAACAGGCAAACGGTAACACGTTCGTTTCATGACTCCTCTTTGACCGCTTTGTTTATACATGTTCTCTTTCTATCAGTTCAACAACAAAAGCTACCCACTTACCTTAGTGCCTACCTACCCAGGTATGTATGTACTAAGGTGAACCTTTGACGCCGCATTGTTTTGGCCGCGAGCAGTGCATCTCAAAGAAACACCAACTGATTCGACAACATCGCTTCTTCAAAACGCCTGAAACGCCTACGGGCAAACTCAACATGCAGGGCACCCGATACTTGGCACTCAACTAGAAATACCTGAGCCGTCACTGCAATTTAGCGGCAGTTTCGCTTGTTGGGCCTTGTACCGAAAAAGTACCGGGCCTGTAGATCTGCGACTTGGCTTATTGCTTAGCTCTGAGTTAGTGTCCTGTTAGTTACTGACTCTATCCATCCCCCTCTTGACTGGTCTGCGACAACCTTCGTTCCTCTCCGTTGCCGATCAAATCAAAACACCCTTTTCCTTTCTTCTCCTTTCTCTCTGTCTCCGTCCTTTCCAAAGCCGCGAATACCTTTCAATCGTCATTCGAACCTTGTACTCTTTCATAATTCCATCATCTCTCGTCCCTCCTTCTTTGTCTTTATTCTTGTCCACCGTCTACTCCGTACAGCATATGCCCTATAACTACCAACTAAATAATCCGGCATTTCATCACAACAATCAACAACATCCAATCCGATCCGATTCAACCTAACACGACAACCACAAACTTCACTGCCACCACCAGTTCCAGACTCATCTCCTCAAGTCTCACCACCTAAACTCTGTATCAGCACAACGTTCCACGGCCGCAAACCCCATCATCGTCTCGACTTCCACAACCTTCTACTCTCCTACAAGCATTATATCCTGGTTTCCAACCCCTGCTTGTAAACCACCAGCCTTTCGACAATCGAGAGGCCCATCGTTTTCTCAATTTTTACAACGAGGCCTTGACTTCCTGTCTGCCATTAACCTCCAGACCCTTTTGCCGGTAGACTAGTCCGATTATTTCATTGCCGCGCAAATCTTGGAATCGAACGCTTCCGCTTCTCCTTCACGAACCGTCAATGTTCGTGACATCACCACCACCATCATCATTCTCGAATTCTATACCGTTCGCCGAAACATAGTAAGCAATGGCCGGAACTCTCGTTGAAAGGGCCGCGCATCCGGTCAATACATCTTCTCTTGATACCAAACTCGACGTTTCTGCTCGTCCTCGCAGCCAATCTCACCTTGAGGCTGCCTTTTCTCCTGTCAACAACGACGGTTGTTTTGACTTTGACCGCGTGTTGAAGAGCGGCTATGTCCAGAAGCGTACACAAAAGACAAAGGTTAGCATCTGCTGTCACTTATCCTTGTTGAAGCATGGCGTCGCGGCTTCCGGCTCTTGTCCAGTACTGACTCCTTTCTAGAAATGGAAGCCTGTCTACCTTGTCTTGCGACCCAACACCCTCTCTTTATACAAAAACGAGAGCGAGTCTCGACTACGACACCAGCTTTACTTATCCGAGCTTACAGCCGTCGCCGAATTGAAAGACCCCAAGCATAAGCGCGAGCATGTCTTTGGCCTCTTTTCCCCGTCTCGCAACTACCACTTTCAAGCGAATTCCGCCCAAGATGCTCAGGAATGGATGGACTTGATCCGAAGGGATGCGCGTATCGATGAAGAGGAGGACGAGATGTTCCTTGCTAGCCCACGTGCGTCTCAACAGCCTGGCAATGGCATCAAGCCGGTTTCTATCAGCAACAACCGACCAAATGAACATGAGCGTTTCCTTTCCAGCTCTCCGGAACCAATGGCATCATCTGCTCCCAGATATGTCACCTCGGCAGGGGGTAGGAGAAGGTCGTCGATACTAGAGTCTTCGGGACTATCGGGCGCGGAGTTCGCATCTCACTCCGACCTTTCCGACAATGAAGCTTTCCGACCCCAGGACTCGTCCTACGATAGTTTGGCCGTCCAATCGCCTAGCAAGCTACCCCCAGCGACTCGCCCATTAGGTCAAGGTATCCGATCCGCGAGCCAAACAAGCGTGTCCAATGTTGAGCAAGACCCCGACCGTGTCATATGGCAAGGCTGGCTCTACCTCTTGCGTCACCGACGTGGCATGCGCCAGTGGAAGGATATGTGGGCTGTCCTTCGCCCACGTAACCTCATTCTCTACAAGGACGAGTCCGAATACACAGCCCGGTGGATCTTACCGCTCTCCGCAGTCGTGAATGTCGTCGATATAGATCCTCTCAGCAAGAGCAAGAAGCATTGCCTTCAGGTTATCACTGAAGAAAAGAGCTACCGCTTCTGCGCCCATGATGAAGATGCCCTTGTTCGCTGTATTGGCGCTTTCAAGAGTTTACTTGCTAAACGTCGCGAACTTGAGGCTCGCGCTGCCGCGACAACCACATGACCTAGGCGCAAAAATAGACTTCACGGGATCTTGGCCTCACGAGACCCAATGGTGCAAACGCACCCAAGATGAATCATGATGATCAACGTTTTCTTTGTCGGTTTTCTTTGTCATGCGCCAGCGGTCCCGCTGTTTTCTTTGTATTTCTTGGTCATCGTTCATGGCGAATATGTTGCTTGATAGAAGAGAAGAGAAGAAAGGAAAGGAAAGGGGAGTGGGAGCTTCTTGATGAGTTGTATATGTTTTTCAGCGCCTGTTCATTTAGCGAAAGCCTCCTATTTTGTTGTGTACATAAAACATGATATCCATGGTACCTAGCACCATCCTGTAGAAACCTGCCATACTCAATCAATATTCTCGAGTAGAGAACGCCATTGTGAGCTTAAACCAAAACCCAAACACCTGTCCATGTCTACCGATGCATTCCGAACCGTTACAAAACGCCGAAAAGAAAATCAAATAAAAAATCAAAGACGCCAAGCTTTGATTAACACAAACATTATCGTTTACCTTGACCGTGCCATATTGACAACTGCTGATGCAGATTTTCCTCGTTGGTCTTGGTATTGGCCAAAACAAAGTGATATTGGCATGAACTTAATAAGTTACGGGCCAATGAGTATTGGGGTCCCAATGAGATGGCCGAGTTTCGTAGACGAGGTGCGCAACAACCGTATGCGAGCGAAGGAAAAAAAAAACAATGCATCTTTGGTGTGGAGCGGCTTTGTGCGCAACGTCGCTATATGCTCTCGAGGAGAAAGGTGTCATCGAATTCGCCATAGTTTAGGTTGTCATCGTCCCGGTCGTTCATGAGTGATTCAAAAGTAATGTCATCGGTTCCATCGGCGAGACCGTCGCCTGTGCCGAGACCACCGAAGATCTCGTCATCAAAAACAGAATCATAATTATTGGTTGACATTTCATGTGAGGCTCCCATATTGTCTGTATCCATTGGCAGGTCTTGCTTGGATGCGTTATCAGCAGATCCAGCAGGCAATTGCGAGATGCCATTTGTGCCAT